TTTAATTTAATAGTAAAAATGGAAGCAAATGCTATAAATTTCAAACAAAGAGGAGCCCAGTGCCTGAAAAGCACAGGTCAACCAGACCTGTGGCTTGACCATGGGCCCTGGGCTTCCTCACAACATGGAGGCTGCATTCCAGGGAAAGTGATCTGAGAAACCATATCATGTATTATGAGCTGGCTTTGGAAGGCAGGCAAGTCACCTTTGCCACGTTCTGTCCCCTGAAGGATTCTCAACGGCCCGGCCCAGCTCAAGGTGAGGGTGGGGAGGGAATAGTAAACTGTCTCTTGACAGTAGAGAGGCAGGGTTCTAGAAGGCTGTATTGCTGTGGTCACATAGGCACTCTGCCCTACCTGGGCAGAGCATGGAAAATACAAGGAAGTTCCGACCTGTCCCTCAAGTTTAAGTTTAACATGCAGGACCTCTGCAACTGTGTTCAGCTTGCAGCAATGGCTCTGGTCCCGCTTTGGCCTCTACGAATGACTGGGATTCCTTTGGACAGAGTAGAATTTTTCACCAGCTCGGTAGAAATATGTAAATCTGCCCCACATATCTGCCGATATGTCACTGCTCGGGTGGGGTCTTAGCCTAGATTCCTGAGGTTCCAAGTGAGAACATGATGGTAAAGTCATAATCTCCTCAAATAACACCCACCCGGGGCCACATACAGGATCGGGAGTTCGGGAGCAGAATCTGTGGGGCCACCAAGGAGTGGTTTGTGCAGGAACCTTGTAGAAATTCTATAACTGAGGGAAGCAGCCCGTGTCAAGATGCCCATCAGATCTTCTGTTAGTGGTCATAGAACCCTGAGCTCTTTGAATTTGATTCTTTTTGCCTTTTTGTGTCTTTGTTTTTAATATGTAGGGATATTTATTTATTTATTCATACATTCATTTATTTATTCACTGATTGATTGACTAACTGATTGCCTGAGCAGGGGAGGGACAGAGAGAGGGAGAGAGAGAATCCCAAGCAGGCTCCATGCCAACAGCAGGGCTTGAACTCACAAACCATGAGATCGTGACCTGAGCCCAAATCAGGAGTCAGATGCTTAACTGACTGAGCCACCCAGGCACCCATCTTTGTGTCTTTTTAACCTGTAAAATTGTTTTCTAAAATGTTCAGGTGTATTTCTTCCATACTTTTCTATTATGGTGTGAACTAGCGTTCTCGGTAACTTTTTTCTTTCTTCTATTTCAGAGATATGGAAAATACAACAAGGTACAGAGAAGAAAATAAAAATGTTCTATAACACCACCCCTTAAAATAATAATTGTTAATATTTCATGCTTTATCTATTGTGTATTGCCTCATCATTAAGTATTTTTGTATTAAAAATGATTTTAATAGCTAACTATGAATCGAATATACCAGAATTTATTTTAACCACCCCTTTTATTGTTCGGCATTTAAGTTAATTCCTCTTTCTCATGCTTTTAATGCAATTTCTTTTGCATTATTAAAATACATTTTTCTTTAACATATATGATAACATTTCCCCTACTTATTTAAAAGGCTTAATAAAAAGTAGTTAAATCTAAATAAAAGTTTTTTCATTGTGATACATTCGAGAAGTGGAATCATTGGATCAGAGACAATGAACAACTTACAGTTTTTACTACATGTCTGAAATTGCTTTCCCAAATTCATGCAATCACTATCAGTCTGTACACAATTTTAAAAGGCAAAGAGGAAGGAGTTCTCTGTTTGTGGAGGATGTGGAACATCAAGCCATGTTTTAAAGGAATTTAATTCAGCTTTGATTTGTGTTTGTTTTAGCCTGGACATGAGGATTAAGTCATTTGGCTCCATCTTCCATGCTTTCTATTCCTTGGGTCCAAGTTCTGAGCCTCTGTTTTTCCCTCTCTTCAAGTGTATTTTCAGTCATTTATATTTTCCCCAGAAAACACTATGCTCTTCTGGGGTGCCTGGGTGGCTCAATTAGTTGGGTGTTCGACTTCAGCTCAGGTCATGATCTCCCGGTTCGTGAGTTCAAGCCCCACATTGGGCTCTGTGCTGACAGCTCAGAGCCTGAGGCCTGCTTCAGATTCTGTGGCTCCCTCTCCATATCCCTCCCCTGTTCACTCTTTCTCTCTTTCTCAAAAAAAAATTAAAAATTTTTTAAAATCCCACTATGCTTTTCTCCATGTAGGACTTGTGCTTTCACCTGTGTCCATAATTTTCTTCCAGATGCTCTTTCTCATTGTATCTCCTTTATTTCACACATGACTGTGGCATCGCTCAGTGCCCACCGTCTCTGCTTCTGCACAATTTGTCTGCCTTGTAATTCTGCATCTTTGAATGATAACGTTATTAGTTTCAGAATCAGTAAAATACGGATGTATATGTGATTGTTATAAATTCGCCGTCTTCCTGTCATCCCAGCCGTGGTCAATTATGGGCAGACCTTCATGCATGCTTCACATGCCTTTTTGTTTAATTGTGTCCATTTGTCCTTGAAAATTGTATGAGGTTGTCACTAGATTTTTCCCCCTTCTGTATATACATTTACTTGCAGTATAAAAGATCTCCAATATTTGCAATAGTTATTTGTTGTTCCCCTAAGCCCCGTTCTATTCTAATATAGTTGACCAACTGGGATATAAACTCAAAAGCATTCTGGAGTGAATATCATGAATATTAAATTACATATCTGGATTTAATGATTTTTCATGGACTCCAGTTATAATATTGCATAACTCATGATCTCTAAGGCCTTTTTAATAGTAAATATCACCACACCTGGGCATTTTGTTGTTCTTATTGGGTGTTAATTATAGCTTTTGTAGTTACCCTGCAGTTTAATCCAAATATGTATCTTAATTCTTTTCCTTGTGCAAAATTCTTTTTAGTATACCTTTTAAGACATTCATTCTGGGTTGGGAAAATATTACTTTTCCATTTCGTTAAATGTTAATTCTGAGTTTACTTTTTGCTGCTTACTTATTTGATTATGTATTATTATTATTTTCTTTTACTGAAATATAATTGACATAAAACAGAGCATAAGTTTAAGATACACAGCAGTCCCTGGGTGGCTCAGTTGGTTGAACATCCAGCTTTGGCTGAGGTCATGATCTTGCTCATGGGTTCTAGCCCTGTGTCAGGCTTTGTGCTGATGGCTCAGAGCCTGGAGCCTGCTTCAGATTCGATGTCTCCCTCTCTCTCTGCCCCTCCCCTGCTCATATTCTGTCTCTCTCAAAATATATAAACATTAAAAATTTTTTTTTAAAATAAGGTATACAGCATGCTGACTTGGGACATTTATGTATCACAATATGATTATCACCTTAGCTTCTCCTAACACCTCTGTCACGTCACATAATTATCATTTCTTTGTTGTGGTGAGAATGTTTAACATCTAGTCTCTTAGCGTTGTTGAAGTTTATAGTATAATATTGTTGACTGTAATCACTATACTGTGCATTAGATCTTCAGGACTTACTCATCTTCTAGATGCACGTGTGTCCCTTTGAACAACATCTCCCCACCCCCACCCTCCAGGCCCTGCTAACCACTATTTGACACTCTGTTTCTATTGATTTGCCTTTTTGGATTCCACAAAGAAGTGATATCATGCAATATTTGTCTTTTTCTGTCTGGCTTATCTCACTAAGCATAATGCTGCCCTTTTCCTTTTCCTTTATTCTAAGATGCCCCATTTCCTCATTTTTTTGACCTTGTTCATTCTTTTCTTCTAAACCTCTGTGGGCTTCTACATACCAGGTATTGCGTTTAAGGGTCTGGGATGAATGGATAGCCCATGCCTATGAGAACCTAATGCATATCAGAATGGCAGGAAGAATAGTGTGCCAGAAGGCAATGGGGCTGTCCAGTTGGCCAAAATGAGGCTCTATGTAAGGGTAAGAGGGGAACTGGAGTGGGCCTAGTGGCAGGTTGTGAAAGGGGGAGAATGTGGACTCTGCTCTGTGGTGGTTTTGTGGTGGGAAGTGAGATAAAGAGGGCATTCTGGGGCCTGTGTGTAGGACAGAAGTTTGAAGGGGAAGCATCTGAGAAGGAAGGGGCTCCATGACTTGGATATTTATTCATGGAACTAATGGATACCTTGTGCTCGCCGTGCGTCAGAAGCTCTGCTCCCCGCAGTGAGCGAGGCACCATTCACCTTCTCATTCAGCACCCCTGCCCTAATAGGACTTGTGCGCTGGTGAGAGAGAGAGAGAGCAAATTAGCACCTGTGGTGGTGGCAGCAGCGGCTGTATATATACACACCTCATGGCATTTAAAGTCTCCTTAATTGGGTGCCTGAGTGGTCCAGTTGGTTAAAGCATCCAACTCTTGATTATAGCTCAGGTCATGGTCTCACAGTTAAGGAGTTCAAAACCCCCATTGGGCTCCACTCTGACAATGCATAGCTTGCGTGGGATTCCCTGTATTCATCTCTCGCTGCCCCTTCCCCAGTCACTCTCTATACCTCCCTCTCTCAAAATAAATAAATAAACATTTAAACAAATAAAACATAAAATAAAGTCTCCTTAGTTATCTAACTCTCAGGGATCATGACTGGTGTGTAAATAAATACCCAGTGCTCTATTAGATTCCTGTTCCCTTCAAGGAATAGCTCCGTTCTGACAGATCAGCTTGGTTGCCCCTATGACTCAACCCCAGCCTTACTTGGGTTAGAATTCCTGTTATATGTGAGTCTGCCCACAGATGCCGCTGAAAAACTCAGGCTTCCCCTTTGATAATTCAACAATTAGGAGTTGACATACTGGAAATAGCCTTTGAAATGACCACAGAAGGGAGGGGGTCACCCGTGGAGCTAGTCATTTGGTCATAACCTGAAATCGGCTCATGTCTTCTCAAGAATGACCTCCAGGGAAGACAAAGAGGTTCTGGCATGCTCCACCTGGGGTTTGAATCCAGGAGAGCTCTGTTGGGAGATCTTCCCTCTGGGTACCCCTGAGTGGTACAGATGGGCTCGTGGCCCTGAAAAAGTCTATAGCTTACCAGTGACCTTGTTCTTTTTCTCTGGCCAGGAATCTTGAGTCCTTTCTGCAGAACTTGGAGAAAAATGTGAAGCCATAGACAAGAAGTTATTGTACTTAGAAGATCAGCTGCACACAGCAGTCCACAGTCATGATGAAGATCTCATTCATATCCTTTTCATCTTGCAGAGTAAGCACCTGCTAGGTTGCTTTGGAAAAGCAAGTCTTAAAAAAATACTCAGTTTTTCCATGCCCCAGCACATGGCAATGGATACCACTGTTATTTACAGCCCAGCACACCTTAGATCTCTGAGATCACCCTGTGTGTGATGTTTGCTCTCTAGCTTTTGGTAGTTCAACATTTTTGATTATTAAGCCTGACCATTAAACATTAATCATGAAGTTCAGACATACACACACACAAGGCCAAAACAAAATGCAGTTTTCAGGGGGTGGGCAGCTGGGTTTCTGGTGCTCGGATGGCAGTGGGACTGACTGGCTCAGTTTTCTAGGGGCTTCTCTATATCAAGAAACCCAAATCCATCTTTGGTTTTTGTTACCATACGATTCTGCTCTGTAATGAGCCGTAGGGTATCAAAATTAACAGGACTTTGGATCATTCCCTCTCAGTTCCTTCTTGCATTAAACTCCAAATACTTGGTGTTGCATCTGCAGATGACTTTGCCAACACTAGTTGCCACTGAGCAAGGTGGCCTGAGAACATTCTGAAGCATTAGCTTCGTTATGTGTCTGTATTAAGCAGCACATCCCGGGCTGATCTGTGGGTGTTGTCAGTTCTGGCTAGTTATTTTGAGAGCAAATAGAATGGCGAGCGGATGGATGAAGGGGTATGCAGCCCCATCCTGTCAGTTTTCAATGATTCAATCGGAAGTGGACACGTCTGTAGATGAAAACACTTCTCTGTTCATTCATCTTTTCTATTCAGTAGTGTGACTCTTATTAGGTACATTTGTGGGAAATGTAGCTATAATGTGGGACATATTTGCTTCTCATTGCTGTCTCACTTCTCAGGATTCCAGTTCTTTTTATACTTTATCTTGAGTGACTCTGTATGTGTGTGTGTGTGTGTGTGTGTGTGTGTGTGTGTGTGTAAGTAGCTTTGAATGGCCAAGGACTAATCGTAATCGCAAGTATTCAGATACACAGTTTAATGATGGATTCAACACTGTTTCCATCCTCATTATAACCTTACATCTTAGACCTTGGCTATTAAACTTAGCAGGAAATTTCTTCAACTTAATCTCAACGATTACTTTCACATTGCTCAAAGTAGATTTTCAAAAGCAGACATTCTGTTCTTCATAATTTCCTGCCTTTTACAAAACTGTTGTTTAAGTCAATGTTAGAAAGTTGGCCAAAGAAACAGCAGAAGAATTTTTTTTTTTTTTTTGCCTTTTTGCTTATTCCATGTTCGTGGATCACCTAGTATTGAGTACTTTAAGAGGACATGGGCTCCAGCAAACGGGCAAATGACCATCTGTGCCTGGGCACCTGGGAGCAAGCAATGCAGAGAGCCAATGTGTAGAGAGGGGTCGCTGGCCCCCAGCCAGGCAGGTGGGGGCTTTCCCCAAAGGGGTGTACCGCGAAGCTTACAGTGAAGTCAGCAATTCTGAGGGCAGCAGGCAGGGTCTGTGTTGGTCTCTAGACCTAACTTTTCTAAACTTTATAGTCAGGTTTGGTTCTAGGGAATTGGGTTTTCTCCCTAATAGGGTCAGGTGGCAGGGATGGAGGCTGAGAGGGGACAGAGCTGTGTATAAATAAGCCCCTTTTAGTTGCCCTCCAGCCAATCCAAGATTCAGGGGCAGCAAGACCATGGACACTTTATAAAACCTCTTCATGATTCAGCTTTTCCTCATCTGCAACAGTGGATGGTAACATGTGCCTGGCAGGTTCATGAGGCTAGATTCAGGAAAAATCTCGAACGTGTTTGGACATGGCAAGGGCTAGGTTTTTGGTAGAAAATGACATTCTATAAGTCCATTTGCCTCAACATTTTCAGTGTTTGTGTCAAAAGCTTCAGGCGCATCCCACTTATATGTAAGACCTTTCAAGGTGGGTTTACTCCATTATTGCATCATAGACGCTTGAATGAGTCCACTGGTAACCACACAGTGGCCTGTAATGAAAAGTTATTTAAGTTTAGTAAAACAGCCGCAGATGCATAGAGATCATTGTTCCTACTTGATAGTTGAGAAAACCAAGGCTTAGCAATTACGTGATTCATCCAGGGTCATTTCCAATGAGTGGCAAGCTCCGTGGTCCTCGTTGGCCCATTTGGGAGGTGGGTCTGCCTCTAAGGAAATGGTCAGGCCTGTTCTGTGGAACACACAGTTACTCCAAAGTTTTTAAGGTATAATACAAGTATTTTATTGACATTATGTTTTTTGAGAATTTTGCTGATCCTTGCTGAGATAAGTAGAGACATAGTGGGGTGTCAAACCAGGACTGGGAAATGCTGTTTTAGGTACTGAAGACACTCCTCTCCCCTCCCCTCAAAGAAAATCTGCACCGCAGTATGGATTTCAACCCAAACTTTCCTCTGAAGCCCAAGCTTTGTTCTGTGTCACTGATTAAAAGCAAATACACAGAAGATATCTTTGAATGCATACAAAATGGCACTTAGATTTGAGTGGAGCTTGATGCCTTAAGATAGGAAGACATATTTACAAGGCTCTGCAGAGGCTCCCTGCACAAACCAAAACCCTTGTTTCACATTAGACCTTATCTATGGATTCAAAGAGGCTGCAGAATCCTCCAGGCAAACTCACACTGGTTTGTGTTTCCATTCTTGATCAGACACAAAGCCGAGTACGGTTGAAAGAAACAGCTTGCCATCAGCAACACAGAAAAATTACACCATGAGTGTAATATTTTTGAGTCCATCAAGCACTTTTCCAGAGCCCAGTGTGCTCATGATGGGGTGTGAATGTTATTAACGTGAGTCCACAGTGAATGTCCAGGTCCAGAAGATTCTGGCCCTGGATGCTACTAATGCTCTTTCGGTATGTGGAGGGCACTGGGCTTCTGCATAAGACATGTGTGTGAGAAAGTGTTGTTAGTAAGGCATCAACAGGGGAGTGAGCCGCTTGTTGACAGTAGAGATGAGTTTCCAAATGGATCCCCTGGATACCCTGACTTGATATCGGGGCTGCCAGAAGCCTGCTGGGAGTGTCCTGCTTTTGTGAAGAAGACACTGGATTGACAGCTCCAAGAAGGGAAAGAAAATAGACTATGTCTCTTCATCATTCTGACAGACTCACTAAATGACATGTCGCATGACCAAACAGTGACAAAGACCCATGACTGCTACTGTACCAGCAAGTGTCTGAAGAAAGTCTGCACCATTAATTGGAAGAGCTGGCGTCAGCGAGGTGACTCATGCCTGGTGTCTGAGGAGAGGACAGGAGGTGTGACTCACCTGCCAGTCAAGCCGGGATTTGCAAGAGCATTAGTCTGAGTCTCTAGTGCAATTTCACAGTCCTTCGGGGTCCGAATTAGCAGTTATGTTTTGAAAACCATTTTGAATGGTTCCTCCATGTTGAGAATGATTTAACTGAAAACCATCCAAGTTTGGTGGATTTTTAAGCAGATTTATTCTCACTTTTTTTTTTTTCCTCCTTCAACTTCTACAACCCACTATAGAGGGGAAAGAAAGAGCACATCTCAGATTGGGATGACTTTTGGCATATATCAAAGCCCCCAGGGCAGTTCTGCCCCCCTCTGAATTACAGATAAGATGGGGACAGACTGCTTCTCTTTGTGGTCCTATTTGCCTCCATATCCAGGAGACCATCATGGAATTCTGTGCTATCCACTGATAGGGAATGCATGGTGCCCAATCGATTCATTTTGGTGGTGCAATGGCATGCAAATGCTCTAATACATCCAGGCACATGCACAAACATAACATCCCCCTATGATCCCTTGTCTGGTTCAACTTTCTAATATGTAGCTTGAACAAAGGCAACAGGAGCCTGGGGAGATTTGCTGTGCCTTAAAGGGCTGGAAGAGACACCATGAAGATCACAGAACTAACTCTACTTGGGAAGCCAAGTAGACCTTAACAGGTGGCCATTGAAAGCATCGTGTGTGCTGAGCAGATGTGGATATGGTGGCCAGGATTTTTTTTCTTCCAGGGGCTTCCACCAAAGGCAGTGGGGTGGGGAGAGGAACCTAGGAGGCGGTGTGGACACTGGGCTGTCCTGCTGCTGGCTTGGCACAATGCAAACTTGACACTAGGTGGGCACAAAGAAGAGTTTATCCTGTGAGAGCATCAACCCCTTTGACACAGGTCACGTGTATGGGTGAGGCTTTCCTCTCAGCTCTTCAGCAATGGTGTTCTTCGCCTTGGGCTTTTTCATGAAGGTGAATCTCCTCACACTGTCAGCCACGGTGGTTGCCAAGGCATCACCGCTGATCTGGAGAAACACGTTAGCAAATGAGAAGCTGTTCACCAGACCAGATGAACTAACCTACTTTTGACCAAGCTGCTAAAATGATTGCTTGGAAACCCAATTGACAGTCAAAACCTCAACTGTTATTAAATGTAAACAAAAGGCCTCGTTGAAAGAATCTGAGGGTCTTTGCAAATGGCTGCCCGAAATGGCAAAATCGTCTTACCCCTGTGTTCCTGGATGACATCTGTGAGAGGTGACTTACTGTCTTACATCTTTACTAACTGCAAACACATAGAGGTCTCAATGGCATAGGCATCACAAGAATCATTCAGCTCTTTGAGACTTTCTCTTATACTTAGATAGCGAACACCAAGTCATATATCCCTAAGATTTCAATACTGGAGTTTTACTTTATTTGCTCAGCACTTGGACAAACCGCAAAGTCAAATATGTCAGTGGGCTTCCACTTTGAGTTTATTGGACTGGTAGTCAGAAACTCTGACTCTAGACCTATTCTTTTACTTAGTAGCCTCAAGATCCTGGTTAGCTGTATTAAATGGAATACAGTGAGAAAGTATGAAAATATTTCTTACAATATACTTTTCGATATAACCTCCAAGTTCATGTCTGCAGGCTGGATCTCACCCCAAACCTCAGACTCATGTCTACTTCCTATTCAACCTCTTTTCTTGGCTGACAAGTAGGCTTCCCACCGTCTCCCCGTCCTCAAAAAAAAAAAAAAAAAGTCCAACACATACTCAGGCTTCTCCTTGATAAATTATAGGTTCATTGCCTAGTTAAAAAATCTGGGCATTCCCAATGACTTTTGCTTCCTTCACATTCCACATCTGGTCCATCGCCATATGCCGTTGGCTGTACCTTCAGAACATATGCAGAATCTGGTCTCCTCTCACCTCCATGGTCACTACCCAGGTTCAATACGTGATCTTTTCTTGTCTTTTGTTGTAACCACCATCTCCATGCATTTCCATGCTTCTGCCTTTGCCGCTTTAACCTATTAGTGATGAAAGTGGCCGGAGTGATCAGTCACTTCCCTGCTCCAACCCTCTATGGCTCCCATCTCACAGTCCACATACATGCCCATATGGATTTGCTTTCTGCTCCACTCACTGGCAGTAGGCTCCATGAGGGCATTACTTTGTTCAATTTACTCCTCAGCTTCCTATATCCAGAACCTTCCTTAGTACACAGCAAGAGCTTAGGAGATGTTTGAAATATCTGAATGAGTTAAGGAAAGAACAAGGATCGCTTTCTATTCTTTTATTTCCCCAACTGCTTAATGGTGGAATGTTTCAAGTGATTTCTTTTATAAACACATTGATTTAAATATAAAAGGATGCATGTTCATTTGAATATTACAGAAGTATGGGTGGGGAGGCTACATATCCCTCCTGGGACCAATACCTGGAAGTTTACCACTGTGTCTTTCTAAGGCACTTTTCTAGTTAGAAATCTCTTGTGTCTAGAGTTTTTTTGTGTTTTGTGGTTTGTTTTGTAAAATTAGGATAATTCCGTATAAATTGTTGTGTAACTTGCTTCTCCCCCCCACCCTCACTCCACATTTTACCCAGGATTCTCTTCCATTTTAGTGCATTCAAAGTGTTTTGGAACTTATATTCAGTAAGGCATCATACAGACAGGTTGGTTAGAGAGGAATATTTTATAAATAAGAACATGATTCATTTTTAGTTCTTTTTTTTCAAATTCCAATATAGTTAACATACAGTGCTATATTAGTACAATATAGTGATTCAGCACTTCCATATGTCACCCGATGCTCATTATGTTAAGTATGCTTTCAATCCCCTTCACCTATTTCACCCATCCCCCACCCACCTCCCCTCTGGTGACCATCAGTTTGTTCTCTATAGTTAAGAGGCTGGGTTTTTCTGGTTTGTTTTGTTTCTTAAATTCCACATATGAATGACATCATACGATATTTGTCTTTCTCTGACTGACTCATTTCACTTAGCATAATACTCTAGATCAATCCATGTTGTTGCAAATGTCAAAATTCCATTCTTTGTTAGGGATGAGTAGTATTCCATTATATATAATATATATATTCTATATTGATTCCATATATATAAAACACATTGATTCCATATATATTCCATAAATATTCTCTATGTATTGCATTACATACATATACCATTATATTATATTCCATTATATATATAATATACATTATATATATATACACACCACTTTTTCCTTATCCATTCATCTATCAGTAGACACTTGGGCCACTTCCATAATGTGGCTCTTGTAGATAATGCTGCAATAAACACAGGGATGCATACATCTTTTGAAATTAGTGTTTTCGTATTCTTAAGTAAATACCTAATAGTGGAAATACTGGATCCCATGGTAATTCTATTTTTAATTTTTTTGAGAAAGCTCCACACAGTGGCTGCACCAGTTTGCATTCCTACCAGCAGTGCATGAAGGCTCCTTTTCGCTCCCCCCCACATCTTCACCAACACTTGTTGTAATAAAAACTTGATTTTAATCATTTTGATGATCATTACTCCATAGGCTCACTAAATGAGGCCTCCAGGATTGCAATATCCAGTCCTGCTTTGACAGAGCTTAAGGCATTTGCTGCATCTGCTATATTAGTAAATAAACCTTAAGTCTCCTAGTGCCTCACAAAAGGCACCATATGCTCCCAAGGAAAAACAATATTTCTTTTAACTCTAGTCTTATGAAGAAGGTATGAGAATATCTGTTTTAGTTTTGTTTTTTAGTTTGATTTCATTTTTTGAAGATCTAATTGTGAATTGGAATTGAATTAGGTTCACAATTAGATCTAATTGTGAATTGAATTTATTAGTAATAAGATAATTATTAAATAGTTAAATTTATTACTTTAATATGTAATATTTATTATATATTATATGTGAATATATAATAAATATATGTATTTATATATTAATGTAATATAATTAATATATAGATTAAATCGAACTGCATCCTTTCTAGAAGGTAGAGGAGAGATTTTGAGCATCCGCATTTTGCAAGTAAGACAGGGAAAGCATTAAATGATTTGCCAGCTTTCCGTTGCTGGTGATCATTTCCTCCAATCTCTATCTTCTGGCTCCTCTGTGTCAGTGCACATTGTCGTATGAGGGGCTGATGTGTTATTTTAATTCTATAACTTAGCCCTTTTCCATTGTGGCTTCTCCCTCCATCTCTTTGAAAAAGCCTTTCAGTGTGATATGCCAGGGCTTAGAAATTGTACAAGTGCTTTAAGAAGCATCTCATTTTGGGTCCGTTCTCTCTCTAAAAACCTGTGCCATCTTTTAGCCTATTACCAGTAGGGGCGTGTAGTCCCAGGCGGCGTTATCAAAGGCAATTAAATCTCAGAAGTTTGTCAGGATTCATAAACTACTTAAGCTCCATGCTTACTCTTTATAAGTGGAACATAACTTTGTGATTAAATTGCAGCTTGGTATTTAGTCTGGGACCACTTATGCATTTACTCGCATAAAGTCATATATGTTTTCAGTAAAGATTAGCCAAGCTTTCCAGAGAAATGGAGGAAAATGAAGCCTTTTAAAAAAGAAAAAAAAAGATAAATATGGGATTCTTTCTTTCCTTGCACCCGCTCATCCCCACCCTCATTCCACCTCAAGCTCAAGGGCAAGGAGTGAACCATCATAGTCAATGGATGTAAATTACCCAGAAGTTGAAGTCTGGAGGGCAGCTTCAGGGTGAAAAGCTGACAGAAGTTTTTCAGGGTGGTTCAGCATTTTCTCTTAGGAGAAGTTCATTTGCATAATTCCCAGGATCCTCCAGAGTTCTTTATTTAAAAAAGAAAGAGAAAGCTTTCTAAAGTCATAACCTGGGGGGTATCTTTTTCTCTTGACATTGCACTGACATTGTACTTAAATGAAACAACATTGTAGCCTTGACTGGCTATGAGTGGTAAGATCTCTACAAGCTACTTTTCCCAAAGCATTCTGTTTTCTTCATATCTGGTCTGCTAATATTTAAGTGGTCTGACCTCATTTAATGATGATTTAACAGTGTTGAAGTGATGTTTAACTGACATATTTCCATATTCCCCTTCATTCCTCTTGGATGAAGTTAAATTAATTTGCTTATGAAACTAAAAGAATTCAATCTGTCTCTCATCCTGTTTATCTTTGAGTTCTTCTGACTCCAGCTACCGAAGGAAACAGGGACCTGACCGTGGATAGAAAAGCCACCATTTGTTAAATGTAGTCCCAGAAAAGGGCTCCTTTCTTAAGAGAATGACAGCCTTATTTGTTATTTGCTAACTTCTCTGTCATGGTCTTCTCTACAGGAGAAACAACTTTATAGGTCAGGAAACTCACAACCCAACACTTTAAAGAAACCCCAACCAGCCCACCCAGAAAAGGGGGGCTCCCTGCACTCTGTCAAACCTTGAGTAGGCTGAACGGCTATTTCACAAGTACCTGGGGGTATAAATAACACAGGACAGCAGAGTAGAAACTGCAGGAGCTTAGAAATCATTGTTTCATGATAAAACCGAGGTTCCAAGTGATGTGCACCAGGTGATAAAGCTGGATCATGGCCAACATAGGTCACGACTCTTGAGCCCAGACCCACGGTGGCCCCCAAATCCTGGAATTCTTGAGGAAGCTCTCCTTTCCAGCCTTCTGCCCTTCCAGCTGTCTGAGAACTCAGAAGCGGCAGTTGCCCCAGCCCAGCCTGGGGCTTAGCAGGAATCAGTCACGCTGACCCTGTACCTTGGCGCATCCCAGTTGGCCATCTGTCTCGGTCTAAGAGCTGAGTCTTCCTTTTCCTTTCTTAAGGCTTTCTTGAGATAGTCTAACCTCAGGCCTCATAGAGACTGCAATCGCTCTTGCAAGAAGTGTAAAATTTGTATTAATATTTAATTCCTACAATTTGGAAGAACTCGAAACCTCAATTAGACGGCAGGGCCCATCTGCTTCCGGCAGGCACACGCGCTCTTATTTGATCCCTGGGAGGCTGCAGAGGGCCGCCCGTCACCTGCGGTGTGTTCCTTGACAACGTTCGCACAGTCTCTCAGGAGGGAGCTCCAGATGGTGAAGGAGACTCTGCAGGCCATGATCCTGCAGCTCCAGCCAGCGAAGGAGGCGGGAGAAAGAGAGGCCCCGGCTTCCTGTGTGACAGCTGGTGTCCGGGAAGCGCAGGCCTGAGGCGGGACAGCATGGGGGACAGAGGAGGAGTGGCCACGTCGTCCATACAGACGCGCAGGAGGCCTCTCTCACCTCCCCTGCGTGACCCCTGTGCCTGAATCCACCGTGGAGACAGGACCTGGAGGGGTCCCTGCAGAGACGTGGCTCCTGTTGGCTCCCCGGGGGCCGAGATCGGGGAGGCTCCGCATGGCTGTACAGGAGGGGACGATCTGCTGAATTTCCCTCCCAGTGTCGGCCAGAGGCACCTTTCCCGGGTCCCTACTGGAGCATCCTGCACAGGACTTGAGCGTCTTCTCGTCTCAGCCCCCACTAGACAGAAGTTGGGGGCGAATCCTGCTAGAAAAGTGTCTCCTCTCCTGTACCGTCTTGCTCTCTGCTGCAATTAAAATATCTCCTGATTTAAGAGCCCGTTAAAAGGAAACTAAACGTGTCTCTCTCACCACACCTGCTATACTTTCCTATAGGCACATGATATAAGGGAGCTAATTAACCCCGGAATCTGGAATTAACAGCTTTTCACCTTCTCCTGTGATTCGCTAAAATCTCAGGAGAATTACTATGAAAACTTCTGAAAGATATTTCTTTAAAGTAACAGCCTATCGGTGAGGTACAGTCTTTGGGTTTTCCTATTGTGGCAACAGAAATAGGAAATGATGCCTGTTTGTGCTGAAAAGGTGTTTCACCAGGACATCTGGAAATTCGCCCGCAATGACAGCAGGAAGGGGAGCCAGGGTGTGAAGGGATCAGGTGACATGTTTAAACTTCTGGGCCTCTCCTAGGTGCCTCTCAGACCTGTTTGGCTCCATGCCAGGCAGGGCATGGCCACAGAAACTGGTGCGGTGTAGTATTCTGCACGGAGTTGGTGCCTGATCGGTGGCGCAGTGTGTACTGAGTAAGATAGTACCTACTCGGTAAGGCAGTACAGTACTCAGGAAGGCACACAGTCCTCTATAAGGTAGTGACTACTCAGTAACATGGACTGGAGTAATTGCGGACTCCACCCTGCCGAGGCAGCTGTAAAATTAGGCAAGGTGCACCAAGCCAGGTGGCCTCTAAGAAATACTCCACAAATGAACGGGCCTCCCTCGGTCAGATACATTTGGAAAATTCAACATGCCATGATTTCCGGTTGGAGAGCCCCAGTGCACATTAGCATGTCAGACTGGGACAGAGTTCGGGAAAGAAACCCGTTTGATTTTTTTTTTTTTTTTGGTCTAACCCACACTTTAATGGATCATAGATTCTATTTAAGAATCCTATTAATTAATACCCCACCAATTTATGTTGTGCAGCACCGCATTCTCTGGGGAAGTCATGGTCCCCACAAATACCGATTTCCGTCACATATATGAGTGTGGCAGCAGCCAGACTCCAGCTTTTGCACAATGTTGAGCTTAGGAACTACTTGCCCCAGTTTGGTAAGTCTCATTGATTTGTTGAGATTTTTCCGTTTCTGTTCTCATTTATACTTACAAGAATAGTCATGATGCTCCTTTCACGAAGGTCTGTGGGCGCTGGATGGTTCTTGTCATTTCCTGAAGTCACACTGTCATTTCCGGAGGCCAGCTGGTGCTTTGCTAAGCCTCCCGTGCTGGGCAGCACTTCTGTCCTCAAAGAGATGCCCTGCTTAAGCCAGCACCTGGCCAGGGTCCAGGGAACAAAGCAAAAGCATAATATGTGAATTTGCTGATTTTGCTTCATCAATTTTATCTTGAGCATTTAAAAAAATACACTGTACGTATTTCAAAAATGAGTATAATTAAGTCACTCTAGGAATTCTTAGTTTTTTAAATGATGGACCAAGTTAGTGAATTATTTATAATCATGTCTAAAAGGTATTGTGTACTAGTCACAGGCCACTCGGAATCCTTGAATCCTTGAATTAATTCCAGTGAAGCAAAACTTGGGACAAGTCAGGATTGACCATATTCCCAATAGCAAATGTCTACTCTGACATGCATCATTTTTGGAAAGCTCCAAGACACAAGAAATCTTGACACTAACCCAAGTGTTTTGTGTTACTCAGATGCTATTATGAATATCTCTGTGATGTCATGATGTATTTGAAAATTCTGGAACCTAATAAGAGCTGTAAGTGTGCCCCAAATAAGAGTTCTCTGGTACCTCCAATGAGCAGTGTGTTTGCTTCTTTGTTGAGATGCCTGAATAAGTATTGGGGCAGGTGAATGATGCTTTAACCACATGCTGCCACTCATCTCTAGTCTACGCTGGTGTCAGAGTCAGCCAGAAAGCCTGCTAAAGGCCAGCGTGTTTCCTATGGCCACATAACCTCTTCGGGACAAGTCCCTTCTTTGGCCACTGTGCCCTTGGAAGACCTGGGACTGTGTGTCCCAAACCATAATATAGTAGAGTTTTTGTCAGGGTTTGAGTTTAAAATCAACAAAACCACAATGCAAATTGAAGCCTTTATGGAGATAGTCACCAAGACCACAAGCCAAAGTGCAGATTGAAAATGGTGACGTGGCACCTGATCTTCCTGTGACATGCTATGACAGAATGCATGACAGGTTACACTTCCTGCCAGGCTGAGATGCTGGCATTCAAATGGCTGCCCATTTATCTTTGACCAGCCTGAGTTAGGGCATGATCTATTCCTTCCAACTTCCTGAAATTTCAAGATCAAAATGAGGTTGTCGCAGATCAAAGTAGTATGTAACACCGGAAACCTTTGTTCCTCTGTAGTAAGACTGGGTTCCCCACTGCAGGAACGTGGAAAGTCTCAACTGTGTGCACTGGGACTGTCCTAAGACCTTTATAATCATAATCTCATTTAATTCTCAGATCAGCCCTATAGATGACTATAGATGATGAAACAGAGCCTTAGGAGACCAGTGAGCTTCTCCCAAGGCACAGGGCTGAGGACTTATAGAGTGACAGTAGGGAGCAGAGACGGGTAGAAAGCACTTAACGGATGCTCTTCCTAATACGCCTTCAAGGTCTTTTTGAGGCTTCGGGCCATGGGGCATTTTTGTTTACTTAAGAGCGCACGGTCACCTTAGAAGTGCTGCTAGGGAATCCTCAGCTTCTCATGTGCCCAGGTAAGCCCCAGAAGCCTGGCTCAGCTCAGGCAGGTTTCAACAGATGTACCCACTCCGCTGTCCTAACCAACCATTCGGTCCCAATCCACCACAAAAGCCATACCAGGAACAGCCACTTACTGCTTGGCAAGGGGCAGATTTTCTTAGAAATCTGAAAAGAAATCATTCAAAAAAAAAAAAAAAAGAAAACCTTTCCAAAAGTATTCGAGAAAACAGCACTGCACCCTTTGGTTAATGCCTCCTTGTATAAGTGATTCGGTACTTTTGTTTTTAATATCCTCACCTTATCTAATCTGTGAATTTTGTCATATAATTTATTGCTTCATAAATTTTACTTTTGTTACATGAAATTAAAGCTGATATCCAAACCATGGTGCACCTTTAATTTTTTTGTTTGTTTGTTTTTGGTCTTCTGGAGTATGGATGATAGAAAAATTTATCAGGTTTATCTATTTTATCTTTTTGTTACAGGATGACTGATTATACAGTTACATCGCACAAAACGTTTCTAATAAAGCAATACTTGAAAATGGGTATGTGTTTACTTTCCATTTCAACAAATCAGAAAACAATGGAATGTTCTATCCCAGACTTCTTGATTGAGGATAATGAAAATAATATGACCACTATAGTGGGGAACAAGACACGGGTGCCCACTTGAAACATTTTACTGGAGAAATTGGCCAATTCGTTTAGGGTAGAAAAACAAATGAGGGTTACAACTTGCTCAGGTCATGATCTCCCAGTTCATGAGTTCGAGCTCCACATCAGGTTTCACTCCAACAGCGCAGAGACTGCTTGGGATTCTCTCTCTCCACCTTCCCCCACCCCCTTGCTCTCTCTGTCTCTCTCAAAATAAATGAACTTAAAGAAAAAAGAAAACCTAAGAGAATTAACAGAAATGGAGTTTTGTGCAATTAACACATCAAAGTCAATGGGCTTTGCCTATACAAACAACAATCAGAAGAGAACGTCTAAAGAGAAGACCACATTATTTAATAGCAACAGAAATGAAGAGAACACAGCTAGGAATAAAATTAAATAAGAAATGTGGAAGTCTTAGCTGAAGAAAATGTTAAGATGAAGGACACAAGAGAACTGAAAAAATAGATTCATCAAGCTTTGGGTAGGAAGTCATCAGGAATTGTCAAATCTCTGTAAATTTATTTATAAATATTATCTGATCTCAAGTGAGTCACAGATGTCTAAATATCCCCAATATCCACTCTCTGCTCCATCCCTTTCAGCAATTCCTCATCTAGGTACCATGGGCTACAGAGATGCTTACACATGCGCGCGACTGATTGGACTGCTAATCTGATTAAGCAAGGGGCCATTAGATGGATGTGGCAGACATAAACAGACCAAAATCTAGGCCTGAAAATGCCTCAAGGTTATGAAATCGAAACCCAAGGACAACGAATCAAAACAGCCAACTAGCCTTCAAGCTACAGCCAGTCAGCATTTTCCATGCTTCGTTTCCGTCTTTTCTCTATACAAGACTCTGCCAGTGGAGTGCTCCTTACCTCATCCAGTCTGTGGCTGCCTGATTTGAACGGGTTTTTCCTGAAACTCCTAAAATGTCTTAACATACCTCAGCTTTGTTTGTTTGTTTCGTTGTTGTTGTTGTTTACCAGTGCCACCGTTTGCAAGAGCAACCGTGGGAAGGAACCTAATATTTAATCAATAGGAAACTGTTTAAACAAATTAAGGTACATCTGCACTATGGAATGCTTTGAAGTTGCTTTAACAATCATTCTATGTGCATATGTTTCTGCTGAGAGATCACTGGAAAGGGACCCAGGTGACCTAGGGCAAAGGGGTGGCAAAGACTTCCTTTCCTGCGTACTTCTATTTTTTTTTAATTGTTATACCACGTGGTTATATTTACTTATTTGAAAAGTAAAATAGGGGCACCTGGTGGCTCAGTTGGGTGAGCGTGTGGCTTTGGCTCAGGTCATGATCTCGCGGTTCGTGGTTTGGGGCCCCGAGTCGGGCTCTGTGCTGACAGCTCAGAGCCTGGAGCCTGCCTCGGATTCTGTGTCTCCATTCTCTCTGCCCCTCCCCCACTTGTTCTCTCTCTCTCTCTCTCTCTCTCTCATAAATAAACATTAAAAAATTAAAAAATAAATAATTTCCTAAAGAAAAAATGCCATAAATCATGGAGATATGGGAGCAGGCCCTAAGGTAGAGCAGAGCGCCTAGGCCCAGGCCTCCTTGATGCTGATGCAAGACTCATTCCCTACTCAGCCCCCACTGTGTGCCCAGCATGGTGCTGGGGAGACAGTTGTGCCATATATTGGTGGTAAAACGACAACTATGACATATTATGATCGAATGCCTTGAAGGAAAGTAATTGTTGTGATACCTGTAATAATTATCATCCTTTTAAAAATTCAAAAAAAATTTTAAACATGTATTTATTTTTGAGAGACAGGGGAGAGGCAGAGAGAGAGGGAGACACAGAATCCAAAGCAGACTCTGGGCTCTGAGCTGTCAGGACAGAACCCCACACAGGGCTCGAACCCATGAACCATGAGATTATAACCTGAGCTGAAGTCGGACGCTTAACCGACTGAGCTACCCAGGAGCCCCTAAAATTTTTTTTTAATGTTTATTTTTGTGAGAGAGAGAGACAGACAGACTGCAATAGAGAGGAGGGGCAGAGAGAGAGGGAGACACAGAATCCCAAGCAGGCTCCAGGCTCCAAGCTGTCAGCACAGACCCCGACGTGGGGCTGGAACTCACAAACCGTAAGATCATGACCTGAGCTGAAGTCAGCCACTTAGCCGACTGAGCCACCCAGGCGCCCCTGTAGAAACAACATTTAAAAGAAATTATCTAAAAAGATTCATGCATAACCCACTATCTTTATTTTTCTAGTCTGTGTGTGTGTGTGTGTGTGTGTATACTATAGCCAGCATATTTTTTATTCCACTTTTTATGTTTAATATAGTATTTCCCATTTTGCTACATAATCGTGATAATCATTGTATTTATTGCTCTATAATAGCCTCTCACATCGATCTACTATAACTTAGATATTCCTATGTAAGTGGGTATTAAATCTTTCCAATAGTTCGCTTTATAGATACAGTTGCAATGACATCTTGATGCAGATAGCTTTTTCTGGCCTTTAAATTATGCCCATAGGAACAATTCCCAGGAGTGAGAGGACAAGAAAAGGTAAGAAAGCGTGCCAGAGCCGAAATGAAGTTTGCATTGGGGAGTGAACAGAAAGGAACAGGCAGCACTGTGTGCGGCTAGTCCTCTCCTACGGGAATTCCCAGCCTGGCATTGATCAGCGTAATTGATTTTGTGGCGTTCCCTCTCAGCAAGAATGTGTCACAGTAACCGCATCAGGCAAATGGTCGTTGGGCAAACCCTCCCATTTAAAATGAGCACTGTTGACTCTCTCCACACAGAGCTTTCCTGATACTGCTCCAGCTGGCCTATCTGAGCCCGTGCAAAGATTTTTCCATAGTAAAGCCACAGATATGGTCATTTAAAAGTGAGGAGCATTTCTACAGTGGGGAGTGAGCAGAATCAACCGAAGGGGAGACACCACCCAGATCAGACCACTGGGATGTACTTAGCATCAGTGGCGGGGCGGGACGGTGGGGGGGAGGGGTTGTTCATATAAAAAAAGAAGGTTTCCCAGGCACCTGGGTGGCTCAGTAGGTTAAAGTGTCCAGCTGGGAAACAGAGGCAGAAGGAAATGCAGATAAAATGAAATGTCCTTACAACCTGCACCCATTGGCAAATACTTGAGGCAGATGCAGTATAGCATTTCTCCAGGAACTCAGCGACCGTCTTAATGCTTTGCTAGAGGGAAAAACCTTAGCTTGACAGTAGCTAGGCCCCCAGGAGCCTGTGAGTCTTCTCTAGCATATGAAAATGCTTTGGAAACTTCCCCTTGCCTTGACCTCCCCCAACTCCCAAGTACATATCCAGTCACTCCTCACAATCCCAATCCAAAGGCAGCTCTTTCTGCCCACTGGTCCTGTCCCCGTGCTTTCATAAAGTCAGCTTTTTGTACCAAAGACATCTCGAGAATTCTTTTCTGACCTTGGGCTCCAGACCCGCAACACCACTCTAAAACCCCAGCATTTGGCCCCCAGACTCTTGATTTCGGATCAAGTCATGATCTCAGGGCTCATGGGTTCGAGCTCTGCACCCTCCTGGCAGGCTCTGTGCCATCGGCACAGAGTCTGTTTGGGATTCTCTCTCTCTGTCCCTCCCTCCCTCTCTGCCCCTCTCCCAACTCAAGTGTTCATGCGGTCTCTCTCTCTCTCTCAAAATAAATAAATAAACCTAAACAAAAGAAGGTCTCCATTTGTGGCTCTGGCCACCCTCCCCCACCAGGCCCCATGGTGCTCTCACTCAGGAGAACATGAAAGTTTGAACTAGAAAGTGCTCTGGATAACTTTGACTTTGTCTACTCAGCCCAGCAAGAGTCTTTTTCTAAAGCATCCTAAAGCATCCTCTCCCAATATTGCATGTCAATCTGAGCTTGGCTTGGGTGATCTTAGCCAGAGCACTCCCTCCCCGGCCTGGCCCCCGCCCACCTCACATCCTCAGCCCCTGAGCAACGTGAGAATGCAGATTCTAGACCCCTGTAGGTTACCCCAGAGTCTGATCTCCTTCTCAAAGACACATTTCTTTTTTTTTTTTTAAGTTTATTTATTTTGAGAGAGAAAATATGAGCAGGGGAGGGGGAGAGAAAGAGGGGGAAAGAACATCCCAAGCAGGCTCCGTGCTGTGGGCTCTGCTGTGAGCACAGAGCCTGGTGCGGGGCTCGATCCCACAAGCCATAAGATCGTTACTTGATCATGAAATGAAGAGTCAGACGCGTAACCCAGGCACCCCACAAAGGTGAGTTGGCATAGAGTCCCCTTGACTCACCCACTGTGTCTTTTACCTGCACCCAGCTTTGATGGCCCACTGTCCTCATTTTCACCAACCCTTCTCACATGGTGCTTTTATTATTTCAATCTCTTTTTCCTACCTCATTTATTTGCATTTCCTCTTTAGGGGAGAAAGGAAAAGTGGCAGTTTCTGATTACTTGAGAGCTCCAGGGTGAACTTCCCGTGATTCTAAAGCACCCTCTTCATTTACTAACATTGAAGCCGAGCATTCATCTCCGCAGGGCCGTAACATCTGTAACAACCACACAGCTGGAGATGCTGGGAATGGAGACTTCGCTGGGCTTTCCTGGGGGGCTTCAGTCAATAAAAACCCCACGCCTCTCTTCACCACGATGGAAGCTTCTGATGCTTTGTGTCGGCCCAGAGAGTTCCCTCCTTTACAAGTAGAAGGAGTAAGAACTGCTTGACAGGGACCAGAGAACCAGAGAGAGGTGATGATGCTCAGGGCTGTGGACAAAAGCGCTTGTGGCCTGCAGAAGCCATGCAAGATTCACAGGTGACAATAAAACAAGGCACTCTTGCAAAATCCGGCAAGAGACAGTAAGTGTCCCCTGGGCCAGGGG